TGCTCACTCGTTGTATAGGTGCAGCATTGTCACCCCAGGACATTAAATGTGTTAGGACTGCAGAAAACCTGCCCATCACCTGTTCTTTATAACATAGGGAGAAGGTGTTCGTAGCACGCTTTCTGATAGTTTTTTATTGTTTCAGATAACATTGCAGAGTGCACATGACAACACTATTTCTGGCAGGATCACCAAGTATTTTGTTGCACTTATTGAACAGATCTAACAAAACTCCTTCAATGGTATATTTAATAGACCAAAAGGGAGAAAATGAAAAAACATAACAAGGAAAGTTCATTGTTGTTTACATACACTTTAAATTTTAGGGTACAGATTATAATTTCATGTAAAGAGACCCTGTCATGGACGAATAAGTGCAGGCACCTAGAGGCTATCGGAAAGCTTCTGAAGCCATGTTCAGGTACCTCTAGGTGCCTGCCTATTATACACACAGAACTTGACGTTGGACTACGTGCTAAGGTAATAGGATTTTTAAGTGAAATGTTAAGGGCTCATTTCGCAGGTTAGATTAAACATTAAAGTTAAGGGTTACTTAAAGGGGTCAGATTTTGGGTTGGGGATTAGTTATACGGTATGTCAGGGAAATGTTGGGCCAATGTTGAGCTACATTTTGCAGCCAGAGCTGAGATTTTTATTTTTTATATCACTGGAGTACTCTTAAAAAAAAAAAAAAAAACGCAGAATTTGTTGACTCATAGGGGTCTTGTTATATAAAAAGAAAAAAAGTATGTCCATCCCGTCAAACTTGAGGTACATGCATTCTGTGCAAGGTTCTTGGGGTATTTTCTTTTCTGATAAAAATGTCTACTAGATGGAGCTAGCAGATCTCTGCTTCATCAGCTTCTTTGGGAGTCCCCAGTGACATTAGGAGATCCCTAATGTCTCCAAAAAGAGGACATGTCCGTATGCCTCTGCTATCGCATAGGGGGGGAAAAAAGTCCCATATAAAGAAATGTGTAAAAAAAAAGTCCCCCACCCCCACGTATACGCATATATAAGCGTAAATATGCGTCGGGTGCACCAATGCGCGAAAGCGACATTTGCGGTGCACATGTTACATATCGCCGCGAACGTCAGAGCAATAATTTTAGGGCCATCAAACACTGACAACACTAAACTGATGAGCGATAAAAGCTTGTAAAGCATCGGATATGGCCAAATTTGGGTATTGACGTTTTTTGAGGATTCTCGGGTGCGTGCAATTATAAGGCTTGGCATGTTTGCCTTTTATATTTTACCAAAAAATTGGGTATTCTTAAATGTTTAATTAATATAGGGGAAACAGGTTTTTTCCCCAAAATTTACAGTAATTTTTCCTTTTAATATAGTAAAAAATAAAACCCCCCAGTGGTGATTAAATACCACCAAAAGAAAGCTCTATCTGTCCCCCAAAATGGTATAAAATGCATTTCAGTACAGCGTTGCATGACGGAATAAATGTCAGTCAAAGTACTGCAGTGCTGAATACTGAAAAATGGCCTGGCCAGGAAGGGGGTTTAACACCACGATCAGCAAGTGGTTAAGATTATGTGACACTTGGATTGCACACAGGTGGTCTTTAACTAATTATATGACTTCTGATGGTAATTTCTTGCACCACATCATGGTAGGGGCTTCATAGCAAAGGGAGTGAATACATATTGCAGGTACCACTTTTATGTTTTTTAAAGGGGCTGTAATGGCCTTGATCTCCAACAGTATCAACTTATGTCAAAATTAAGATTGTAGCAGCAAAAACTACTTACTAGGGATCCAGCAATAAACTAGTATTGCTAGTCTGTGGCTACATTTTATAGTTGAGGGCTGGAGGTCAATAGCTTTACGGCTATAAACATAAAAGAAAGGATTAATATGTTTAACAATATGCATGTTACAAAGTGGCAATTTGTACAGTATGTGTTTGTAAACTATATTGTTACTTCAGATGCTGCAAAGATATTATAGGACTATCCTAAAATCAAAAGGTGCTAAATATGGGTCTACCAACTCATCTATATAGTGTTTGGTACCAAAATTTGGAAAAAGTATAAAATGGCAGTCTCAACCCCAAATCTCACGGATTGTTCAAACTGCAATTCGGAATCCTTTAACTTTATGGCCACAAAGTAAACCATGCGCAGGCTTGGTGGTTGTCTACACCTTCTATCTAAGGGCTTGTTCACACCAAACGCATCAAAATGCATCCAATGTATTCCAATGGTATTTTGGGCTCCAGGTCACACCACAGCGTTCAGTTGCAGAGCATGTGAAAAAACATTTTTACATTTAAAAAACATTTTTTTAAACTTTTTTTAGAAAGGGACCAACACACAATTCACTGCATGTGCAGCAACTCATGCAGATCTGGTCCGGGTTTGGTGTGAACAAGCCCTTAGAGGTTAGAAAATAATGTTTTTGGTACCTCTTGTAGCAAAAACTTTGAGCAATCCTAGATTGACCTCTTCACTAAACTTGGTCAATGTGGATCAATAAAAGACTACCATCACGCTGTTCACCATTTAGGGGCCTATTAACACCATAGCATTACATTAATTGCATGGTTCTGTGCTAAAACCGCATGCTACAGCTTTGTGCACCTACCGTGCGTTACAGTACGCATTACAGGACAATCAATGCAATGTATCTCCTGCACTGTAACACATGATGTGAATGGGCCCATAATGGTCCCCGGGAACTTACACTTAGGAACTATAATGAGCAGCTGAACTTGGGCTCATGCAGTGACAACTCTCCAACCCTCTAACTTTTCTCATATTTTTTCTACTCTGTTTTTCTTCTTTCAAGATGTTTGCCATATAGAACCTACAACTCCCACAATATAAAGGTGCCCATACACTGCTCGATTCTCGTACGAGAATCGCGGGAAATCCCGCGATCGTACGAGAATCGAACAGTGTGAACGAAGACGTGCGACCGTTTCTAATGTACGGTCGCACGTCTTTTGTCTAAGGAGCATGTTAGAAAACCAGCCGAGAATCGTACGATTTTCGGCTGGTTTGAACAGTGCTCGGGAGACAAATGCCGAACGGGCCGGTGTGCGCACGCGCACACTGCCCGTTCAGCATTGCGGTCATCGGAAGCCCGCCCTTCAGGGGGGCGGGCTTGCGATGATCGAGAGTACGATCTGCCTGTCCAAGATGGGCAGATCGTACGTTTTTTTTAATCACTTTACAACCATCGCAAGACTAAGGTCTTGCGATGGTTGTGCAGTGTATGGCCACCTTTAGGCTGTGCTCTTCTTAGACACCCTTCTTTAAACCACATGGCATACAAGTCAAAGACAACATTGTCAGCCTTAACTCCCACAAAGGAATTTGCTAGAAATTCACAATCTATACAACTTCCCTATATGTACTATTGCTGGAATCAACATGAACTTTACTCAACTGAGCTTGGCCTACATATTTACATTGTTATCTTGTAAATGCTGTTCTGTGTAATACACATGTCCTATTGTGTTTCACTTCCCTAAAAAAAACTACAATAAATATCGTACAGAAATCAAACTGAAAACAATATTGTATAAGCTGAAATTCTGCCTAAAGCTGAAGATTAATCTGCTTATATTTTACCTTCATTGGTTCTTCCGTTACCTCATCATGAACATGCTCATGACATTTTTAAATAAAACCAGTCCATCTTCATTACATTTTAGACCAAGTGACATCAGTGGTCTCTATGCAATGCAGGCTGGTGGGAGGGCCTGCAGGGCTCACTATATAGGGGTCTTTATATAGCGTACTGAAAGCATCACAGCACCCTGTCTCCGTTCTCCTCTGAAGAGCTCTCAGCCCTGATCAAAATGCCTTGATGGGTACATGTCTGTCCTAAAGGAGTAGGCGTTCCTATTCAAGCTTCATTTGCATGCAAACTGCCCAAGGTTATGCCCAAATATGATGCTGAGCCTCCATGACTGAAACGAACGACCTAGGTGATATTAGATGTCTTTCTGCCAGAAAATGAGGCAACTTCTCTCTGGCTTGTGCAGCTCACTTGAAAAGCTCACAATGTGCAATGAAATTGGCATACTATAAGCAGTTTTAGTACAGGAGAGGAGACTCTGCATGACTTAGGGCAAAGCTGGAGTTCAGCTTTAATAGTTTTTTTTTGTTTGTGTTTTTGTGTTTGAAAGCTGTTTAAAGCCAAACCTTGTTTTATTTCTGATGTACAGTGTAGATCAATTAAAATCTGTCAATGTTTCATTACTTTCTTTGTCCCCGATTTGATGATTTCCCCTCACTTCATGCCCATTGTCCAGAAGAGCAAATAAGAGGAGGTTACAAACATAGATGGTATTTAAAACCTAAAAGTGGCTATAACCTTTCTCTAGTCATAGAAAAAAAAAACATGTTGTGGCTGAAGTTCAAATAACTTACCATCATATCGAATATATGTCAGCAGTGGTATAATGAAGGCTAGTAATGACAAAGCATAGGCTCACAATGGCTATAATTATGGCTACTAACCATACATCATAGACTCAGTGCACTAAGTCTGGCATGGTGGTGGTTATTTTCAGCCATGTGTCTGTTTTTTTTGTTTTTCGTTTTTTGCCATTAAAGCAAATAATGATCGTTATGGCTTGGCAAATTCAGCCTGATGGCATTCATGGTTCCATCATTTTAGAGTTGTTACAGGAACAGAAAGTGAGGGGAAATCTTCCAATAGGGATATTTGTTCCAGTGACAACTAAGAGGACTTTTCTCATGAAATAGAAGAAATGTCCCCCAACTCCAAAAGGGATAAGGTAATCACCATGAAGAAACAGACAGGAAAAAACCATAGAAGTTAATCGGTTTTATTTAACGATCCCTTGCACTATAAAAAAAAAAAACGAAAGTTTTGCCTACCCATAATAAAAAAGGTTTGGGTACCATAACTAAATTCCTTCTCAAATTGATTTTGTTCTTCTTTTTTTTATTTTTTATTTTTTTTTTACAGTGTTTCCATAGTAATTTTTTTTCTTTTGTTTTAATTAGAGCTGTGGTGGAAAAATACCTACTTGAGAAATCCCGACTTGTATCTCAGGAAAAGAATGAAAGGTAAGATGCAGTGCGATGGTCAGTTTGGAAGGACCAGCATAGTCCTGTGTCCTGTGCAATGACCATGCCCACAATATATCTTCCCCAGTAACAAAAAACACCCCTATTGTATTGAATAATACATTATGGTATCCGCTTGCCATTAGCCCTTGCACAACAGAACTTGGGTAAGGAAGCTCTGTGGCCTAAAATGTGGAATATAACATGGGTGCAAAAAATGGAAAAAAGGCCTCAGTCATGAAGGGGTTAAAGTGGTGTGCGTGCGTGCCTGTAGCTTTATTAAAGCAGTGGAATTTTAATGACTGGACCTAGGTGAACTATTTCCTGCTATATAAAGTATAGCTTGATGTGCATGTATGCTTCTGATTCCCACTGTTTGTTCCACAGAAATTATCATGTTTTCTATTACTTGCTCCTTGGGGCTTCAGAGGATGAAAAGAAAGCTTTCCAGCTCAAGCAGCCTGAAGACTACTTTTACCTCAACCAGGTAATATTAGCTAGACAAGTAAATTGGTTGATTGGGATATATTTCCCAACTTTCCTCTATACCCTGTGTAAAATAAGGTATATGGGGTTATTAACTTGGTATTTGTTTAATCTAAATAGTAGGTGAGCATATGAGGCAAAAGAAGAAAATATAAGGGTCACATAAGGGTGTTGGGAAAGCACACTATCCGTAACGGTTATGTTTAAAAGGACACTGTCGCTTTGCCCTTAATGGGTGTGATGTGCTTTCAAATAACTGAATTAATGCACTTCATAATATTGCCTTAGGCTTGGAAATAATGTTACATACACACATGTAAGCAGAAGCTTGTTAATCTATACATAGATCACACATATAGCACATGTTAAAGTGATATTAAAGATAAATAAAATGCACATGTGTTGTGGTCCGCTGAGTATGAGCTATTCAGTTTTAATGCTCCCCTATTTTTGTAAATTCTTTATTTATTGAAGAAAACATTTTTTCCCCGTTTACAAACGGGTTTTTCAAAGGGGTGTCCAAATATGCAGTACATACATGTCATTACTAGCTCAATATAAACATCAATCATGGACAGAAAGGGAAAACTCAAAGGGTGAAACAAATACGGAGCAATAGAAAGGCAAGTGTCGCGGCCTAGATCCTGATGATGACATAGGGGCAATGATTCGGGGCCCCCGCTGTCGGGTCTCGTTGCATGAAAGAGTCTACATTATTTGGTTCAAGAGGTCGGTCATTTGGGCAAGGCGTTGCTTCTTGAGTCTAGATCCATGCGCAATAAAGGAGCCCCGTACGGTCGCTTTATGCGCTTCCCACACAGTGTAGGGGGGCACATCCGGCGTATCGTTTTCCTGAAAGAAAAACCGCAGGTCGTGTTCTATAGACAACAGGACGGTCAGGTCATGGAGCAACGAGTCGTTCAACTTCCATTGCCAGGGGCCCTCCACTGCTGTAATTACGATCTGACATTATGTCTGTAGTAACAACTGCAGTTACTTGCCCATTGCAGAATTTCAGGGCACATTTAAATCGGATTGGTGATCGTAGGGCAATAACTCTAGTCCTAATACTAACACTTTATTACATCAGGCAAATTGTGCTTTATCACTATAAATCTTCTATTATATTATCCTGGCTAATCACATTCCCGCTTTCAGTGCTCACCAGTGTAAACAGGCAAGTGAAGGTTTATTTGATTGGTAGCTAAGGAATACTGTCTGTTGTACTTCACTTTTCAGATAGGAGAAGACCTTTAATAAGATTTTTTTTAAACTACTTTAATTATGTGTCAGTTTTATTTTTGGGAGTTCTGTTTGTTTTCACTTCCTTAACAGAAAAAGTTATTTTTTTTTGTTTTTTATTAGAAGATAAATGATTTTCAAATAAAATATACATTTTTTGTGGTTGTGTAGAATAACTTTAAGGTGGAGGATGGAGAAGATCTTCGACATGATTTTGAAAGGTTGAAGCAAGCTATGGAAATGGTTGGATTCCTCCCAGCTACAAGAAAACAGTTCGTGTCTTTTACTTTCTTAGTCTCCATTACAGTAATACAATGCCTTTAAAGCGTTTCAATGGTTTATTTGATAGATTAATCGGTGTTAATTATTTTTTACAGGATATTTTCAGTTTTGTCAGCTATTCTGTATTTGGGAAATGTCACGTACACGAAGAAGGCGACTGGGAGAGATGAGGTACTTGATGTGGGCCCTTCTGAGGTGCTTGATTCCTTGTCACAGTTGCTTCAGGTAAGTCTTAAATTCTTTTTTTTCCATCACATTTTCTAATCATATTGTAGCTTAAAAGAGAACTATGGGGTAACCTTTTTATCCTCCCGTGACCCAAAACTCAGTATATAGTAGGCTATTGCCTGCTATATACTGAGAGCGCCCCAGCTGGGACAGATCTGACAATACTGTCAAGATCCCCCCAGCTGGCTGATTGATAGCGGGCTCTGTCTATCTAGAGGCAGAGCCAGCTGTGCCCGCCCCCTCCCCGTTCCCCCAGTCAGCCCTGGAGGATTGGAGAGGGGATGGGGGTAACCCCTGTGGGGAGAGCGGTGACTGACAGACAGTCGCTGCTCTCTGCATGGAGACGATCAGGAAGTGAGCAAGCGATGGTATGTGTTCGCTCACTTCCCGATCAATAAAGTCGGCGTGTGACCGTTTCATTGTCACACGTCGGCTCAAACTATGAGGATGCGTGTAAATCACTCACTTCATAGTTCTCCTTTTTTAAGCAATTTGTTTCACCTTATTGTGTAAAGGGTTGGAACCCCGTATCAGGGTTTTTTTTTTGCTGTCTATGCCCCTGCTGGGGAGATTTTTTCCTCTGACTTTGATGGAGCTACCATAACCTTTTTCCCGGATCTGTCACCCCGCACCATGGCCCGCCGCAGGGCTTTACGGCCTCTGACCGCCCTTCTCCGGGAGCTCCACATCCCCTATCGGTGGGGTTATCCATTCCATCTGTCGGTGAGTCAAAATGGCCGCCTGGTGATCCTGCGTTCCCCAGCTGATTTGGCGGACTTTCTTGCTGCTGCGGGCATTACATCCTCTGTGGTCCTGGATTCCTGGCCAGATCCCCCGGCTCCCATATTTCCTGAGGTATCATTGCTTCCCCAGTGGTCTACAGTGTCCTACTCGAAGAAATCCAAGAGGGATCCGGCTACACGCAGCTCCCTGCCTTAAGGGATACAGCTCGACGCTTAAGAGTTTGCCTTACGTGAGGATCTCTTCACCCTGATGTGCCTACCCTGGGAAGTTTTATTACCCTTGCCTTTTCTCTACACCTGGATATCCGGGGGGCCTCACCCCCCCCGTATGTGCCGCTCTAACGGCTGGCGGTGGATTACTGGAAATGGACTCTGCCCACACTTCAACACTCTTCCTACCATAGCACTGCCTTTCTTTCCATACTACTCTTGGAGGGTTATTTTTGAATGGCGGCCCACAAACCGGGATGACCCCGTGGTTGGCCCTGCACCTGCCTTTGTGGCATTTCCCCTACCACTTATCCACCTGTTGCAGAAGAACACTACACGTCCACTTGGGGCCTTCTTCAGCTACGAGACTCTGCCCTTGCCTCAAGCCTCCATGTGACACTGGGGATTGCCAGACGGGTGATGTATCTCTGTACTACTGAACGCTGTTTGTGTTATGCTGCTTACTGTTTGATTTCTTAATGGGGGTACGCCCGACATATGCATTTACTGTAGAGTTTGGTTGAACTGTGTGGAGTGATCCATTCATCCCCGGCCGCCACTCACCTCTCATGCGCCATGCTAAATCCACCGGCCTCCCTATGTGCCTCTTATCAGTTGACGCGGAAAAGGCGTTCGATCGTCTTAGCTGGAACTTCCTTACGCACACCCTGAAGCAGATTGGACTGCCCGACTCTTTCATAGCGAAGGTCATGGCTCTCTATAACTGCCCTACAGCTCGAGTACGGGTTAATGGCTCCCTATCCTCTCCGTTCTCCATTCAGAACGGAACCAGGCAGGGATGCCCATTGTCCCCTTATCTGTACATTCTGGCGATGGAACATCTTGCGGAGGCCATACGGCTCAATCATTCCATCCAGGGGATCTGCATACGGGACCACCACTACAAGCTTGGTCTGTACGCGGACGACGTTCTCCTCTACTTATCCAACCCCCGGGTTGGTTTTCCATCCTTGTTAAGGGAATTTCGGAGGTTCGGTCTCGTCAGCAACTTTAAAGTGAATCTGCACAAGACCGAGGCCCTTAACGTCTCCCTGCCCTCAACGGACGTTGCCCACCTCCAGGAGCACTTTCATTTTAAATGGCAGACATCGGCTATCAGATATCTCGGCGTGCTTTTGTCCGCCGATCAGGCGGATCTCTATCGCCTAAACTTCGCCCCGCTCCTCCACTCTACTATCTCTCGTCTTCAGACATGGACCTCTCTACGACTTTCCTGGATGGGTAGGATTGCGCTCTTCAAAATGGACATCCTTCCCCGCTTTCTGTATCTTTTCCAGACTCTCCATTACCTTGCCAGCCCTGTTCTTCAGTCAACTGCGCACAGCACTACTTCGGTACATTTGGAACGGTAAGCGCCCGCGACTGGCCTATAACATTCTGGTCCGTGCGAAGGAATCAGGGGGCTTAGCTTTACCTGATTTGAAAACCTACTACTATGCCGCGCTCCTCACTCAGATCCTTGATCGGAAACACCGGAGAGCTCATAAGCTCTGGGTTGCCCTGGAAGCACAAATCGCACCGGTACTCCCCTTCTCAGTACCTTGGCTTGCTCTTGCCCACCGCCCCCACTCCTCAACGCTCCCCTTTGCTCTTCCACCTCTCCTGAAAGTATGGAACCTTCTGACTAGAACACATGACTTGTCTTCCCCTGAGGGACTCATGACCCCAATAATGGGCAATCCGGCATTTCAGCCGGGATGTATCTCATCCAGCTTCCTCTGCTGGACCTCCGCTACACCCTCGCCCCTGGCCGAGGCCCTCACAGGACCGCACCTGAAACCCCTGACT